CTGCTGACACTTTCTCTGGAATGATCATAGCGGGTTTTTGGTTCATTTTAAGCCTTCCCTAAAGTCCTTTCTAAAGTGTTATAAAACCCCAAAAACGTGCAGTTGGTCGATGTATTACTGCCTCAAAGCTGCTCATCACTGCCCAGCTGCTGCAGTTCACCACTCCCGCAAGAAAAGAAGTGGTAAAATCATGTATGTGAACTTTCACGTTCGTTACCGTACCTAAAATCTCCAGTCCACTCAGCAAACTGGATGGTATTTATCTTCATATGAAAGCAACAGGTGAAAGACACAGCCCTGTTAAGACGGTACACCGGGAAGGATACTAAGTTTTCATCTTACCATGTTACCTCCTTCTGTAAATAATACTGTGAATTACTATCAGAGAGAAAGATTAATTTATGTGGAAGCAGAAATACAATTATTTGCGTAACTCAGTTGCAGAGCAATAAAATGCCACCAGCTCCATATCCATAATGTCTTACACTTAGTATTTTTTTATCAAATGCATGGGGAATTTGAATAGTGACTATACAAATCAGTTAAAGCATGAAAAGTAAATTATGATGATTCAGTGTTCCCTGCAGACCTACTCTAATTTTCAGTGGTACCCAGAATATAATTTACCACATTAAGAATGTTCACAGCCTTTCCGATTCCAAAACATTGGATTTTAGCTCTATCTGTCCAAATCTTTGAGTCTGTCCACAGCCTGAGCACATTTTTTTTCCCCTACTGCTGCTGGACAGTACCAGTTTTCATGTTCTAAGTGTTAACTTTTAAACAGAAATAAAACCATAGAATCACAATTTATCTTCACATCAGAAATATCCAGACAAAGAAATCACGTGGAGCAACTGTCAATGCAAGTTCATCTTGATATTCGAATGTCTCTTGAATACCCGAAGTTTGTTGTGCCTACCTCAGGCAACTGAATATAGCAGATACCTCTTTTATAAAAAAGACCAGAGACAGAAAACTAAAGAAGAGGCTCCTGCTTTGTAAGCAAAAGGGTTTGTGTGAAAGTAGCTTAAAATGATCAACATCGCCAGCCTAGCCCTAGCTAGTTGAAATGAAACATGCTAGTATTTGACTGTTTCACATCAAACATACAAATACAGCAAATCCTAGATAATATTTGGACACCAGATACATATTTGGTAGCATACATCTTATTACCCTACCCATTCTTATAAGTGACTCTCCCAAAACCAGGGAAGTAATGAGGTTATGGTACCGTTCTCTCACAAAATACTGCACTAAGAAAACAAAATAGCTTAGTGTCTTTCATAATGTCTTCAGAAAGCATCAAAAGCAATCATATAAGGCAAATCCTGACTCAAGCAGATCACCCGTTTTCTGAAATGATATCTTGTTAATGCATCAGACGAACAAACCATGGTAGCTCAGCATACAGTATCTTGAGAAATAACAGTGCCAGCTGGGCACTGGTCGACCTTCTTGCACTGTTTTGCAAAGTTTCTACCTTCAGCCATTCACTCTACTCCTTCCTCAGCACTGATCATTATCTGAACAGTATGGCAAAAGCGTCTTGCTCCTCCGTCCCCTCCATGTGGATGCTTGTCTCACCCTTCTGCTGCCTATGCCACAGGAGGATCGAATCACTACCAAGTCAACTTAAAACACCCCAGCTTAGAACTTCTCAAAGTATCATTTTGAGATTAGCCCAACCCAAGCTTGCCTGCCTGCATACCTTGAATAACAAGCCATCTTGTGAAACTGCCACACATCTAGCGTGGCATATGGAAAGCTTTCTGTCACAGGCTTATAACACTTTCTGCTGCTGTGACAAGACTCTTCGCCCTCACACAACTGGTCTGACCAGCTCTCCTCCTCCTCTGTTTTACAGCTCACAGTCATCTTGACACTCTAACACACCTTCCCCGTGTTCCTGCCCCTATTCTAAAGCGAAGGAGACAGGCGTTTGTGTTTCCCCACAACGCAGTGATACAAAGCAAAGCAAGAGGAAACACATCAATTCAAAACCTGGTGATGTGAGTGGCAGAGAATGAGGAACACGAGCGCAGCTCAGCCGAGCTTCCCGTACAGCCACGATGGGGCCATGGGCCAGCTTGCACAAATGAACCAAACACCTCTCTGCATATATGCATCAGAATATAGACAAGTTACCCTCCAAAACCAAAACTTTGCTTTTCTTTTTTTTTAAAAAACAGGCACTTTTTCTCATCGTAGATG